CGTAAGTTTAATATGTTTATCACCGCTATTTGTGTTGTACAACTTCATAAGGGGTTTTTGGTAGGCTTATCAGTGAACGGGGCAGAGCGAGATGGGAAGGGGGAGGTTGGGAAGGGGTGCTTATACCTGAAACGTTTAGATATGAGCTGACGATGCAGCTAACATCTCGAACCATCTAGCGGAATTAAAAGACGTTCTATAGAACAATGGAGAAACACAGAGCACAAGAAAGGAAACAAACAGCACGGAGGTCAACTTCTGGTGTTCCTCATATTACACTGCAAATAGGAAAGGTACACAAGCGAAAGCTAGAAAAAAGTAAAGGAGGGCTTATACTCGGAAGGAGAGGGGCTTAAAATTAAACCGGAATAGTTTTTTTTTTATTAACATTTTGATGGGTCAATAACCTTATGGTATATATACTCACAAAAATTTTGTGTTTTGTTTGCATCAGTTATTAATAGTTCATGTATATATATTTAAAATAAATTAATACATACACATCGAGAGAAAGCATGGTCCTGCACANGGGGGGGAGATTATAACCGCAATCTTACGGCATATTTATACCGTAAGTCTACACACTTACTCGCCTGTTCACAATACGGAACAAAAATTGCGCAATGAATTTACTGAATAAGACTGACAGAAAATGATGCCACTCCCCTGCAAATGTTTTAACGGCCCACCCGAAAGAAGCGGCCCTTTGAAAAAGTCACTAACAGAGAAACCCTCTGTTCTCAAGCGCAATGCGGATGGAGCACTCTGACTGAAAGACTGCACAACTTGAAGAGTTATTTGTGATCTTGTTTCGAACTTTACCGAATTTTTCTTTAAACTATGATTGATGAGCTGTATTTGTCTGGCAGCAGAGTCAAACGATACACCGTAGTACAATCAGTTGTATCGCGATATAATGCGATGTAATAGTTTCGCCCAACAGTACCAACATTTGGGCCTTTATTTACTTATACAGTCTGCTTGGTTCATGTGGATAGTTAGGAACGCACATAAATGGAACTTTTAATTTCATGTGTTACGCGTCCGCTTTGTTTTAAGCGACTGTTACTATCCGAAAGTAACGGCTATACCCGAAAGTAGCGGCCCCTTTTGCCTGCTAAATCCGAAAGCAAAGGGGGCTGTTTCTTTCCGAATTCTACCGTATATATAATATGTCTGAATTTATGAAAACCGTGTCAAATTTGGGGCAAAACTTTCGCGCCTGCAAGCCGGCGATAGCCGGCAGGGAGGCCTTTGTGGTGCTTGAAAAGCCAGGGGGGCTTCCGTCAAGGAGGGTGGGAGAAGATAGCCCTGGGACCTGGCTACCAGCTGATACCAAGCGGGGCTGCCAGGACCTAACCCCAGGGGGGTGGGGTGGGTCACAGAGAGAGGCACTTTCCTCAGTTAAAACTGCTCATTTTCTTTGCAGGACAGCCGTGGCCAGCAATGCCCTGCAGGCTTAGGGGCCGGCAGCCAGCCAGCCAGACACAAGCAAGGTGGGTGAGTAGGCTGTGTGTTGACAGAGTGCCTGTGGTTGATTGAGTGAAAAAGCCTGTGTATTTTCTTGGAAAAGTGTCAGGGTGGTTGTGTTGAAATTAGCACGGTTTTCATAAATCCAGACATATATATGAACAAACAATTAGATACAAAGCTGTTAAAACTATGTGCAGTAAATGTTTCGATGATTGAGATTATCATCAGAGCGTCAGTTCTGCGTAAACAGGGTGTTCTTATAACTTAGACTAGAATAAAGATTATGTAATGATTACGTAACAATTTACACAGGGAACATTATGCTAACAATGCGACTTTAAATGATCGAAATAATAATAATAATAATAATAATAATAATAATAGTAGTAGTAGTAATAATAATAACAACAATAATAATGGAAGCGTGCGATGTAAATTTCCTCCTCGACTCTTCGTTTCATCCAAGAGTAAGCAGTCGCCAAAACGTCCCATGAGAAAATGTGATTTGAATTGTCTTTGATGTGTTTGGGTTGGTACCGATTGATTGCTATTGATTGATATCGGAAGGTTCCTTAATACGGAATTCAAGGTTGCGTGCTGTTTCGCCAATATACGTTGGTGCACAATTGTTGTTATCCATCGGAGTTGGCGTTACGTAATCTTCAATCAAGCCTAAGTTACCTAACAACACACATTTTATTACCGTTCCAATAGATGATGTGTCGAACTCTGAATCGTTCCGTTTTTAAGCATACAGGAAGTGACGACAGAACTCGAAAAAGACAAGGGTACTTTTTTCCTTGTTCATGATGAGGGACAATAATATCATGTATGATTTTTGACAGAACAAAGCACGGCCAAGGCTGTCTTATTTGTTAAGTAAAGTGACTAAAAAAGCGTCAGATTTGACAAAATTAAGCAATCTCATGTTTTAGTGCAAGAGAACTTACCTTCTCATGAATTGCATTTAACACTCTATTCTAAGAGATGGATTTTTATAGCAAAATTGAAAATATCGTCCCGACTTTTAAACAATAATCTCCGTTACTTGCCATCGGCGAACTTATGGCGTCTACAAATTATCATGTTAATATTCAATTAGCAAAATTCTTTTCATTTCGGATTGATCCTTTGCAATATTCTTCTTTCAGATGAAACCGATGTAACTTGACTGCTATATCTGTAGCTGTCGATCTTGACGTCGATCGAATTCAAGTGGCCCAGAAGTCCCACACCAGTATAAAAAATCTTGTATTGCATAATAGACATGCTTTACTTCGAATCTAGGTCAGGTATCGAAAAGATGTGCAAAGCTGCCGGCTTTGACGTAGTTAAGAGTTATGACGTGAAAAGAGCGATCACCAGTTTGAAAACGGCGAGGGCATTCGTAAATATTTCTGGGCAACCACACACGGTCACAGAAGATAGGTTAGCAACATTTTGCGATCGGTATTCAAAAGGAGTCAGTGCTCCGTTTAGGTTTTTGGGCGAGGTTGATTTTCATAGTGCGTTGATTACAGCCAAGCCAGCTGAGCCCGGCGATAATAGCAGGATAACAAATATCCGGTAATATAAAAGGGTTGAAATAAAATGAGTGCATACGTTGAAACTGTATTTTTCTTGATAAAGAACCATAAAACGATGGACTGAAAATAATAGACTCACACTAGATGAGTTTTAATTGTTTCAGAGACTGATCACCATATAAATACAGTGCCTTGTAATCGTTATTAGTAACATGTAGGTACATCATTTCACTGTAGCGATGACGTGTAGAAATTCGTGTAATATTGTCATTCCTCAACGGTGTAGCTTCATGATAAAGAAAAAGTTTTGAATTGTTACACCTTACTTGAACAAAAAAAATTTTGTTGTGTTATAACTATGGGAGGACTGGTATTGTTTACAGAATAGAAGCAAATTTGTAAGGGTTGCGTGAAAACATTTAAGGGTTTATTTTATGGTTCGGCGCATTTGCTTGTTATGTCGTGACTGAGCATAAAGTATACGTCAGTCACTTTTACAATTACAGACTAAAACTGCTTTGTGCAAGCAGAATAACTGATGCCCAAACTTCCTAATTTCACGGAAGGTCCAGTGGATCACATTGTCAACGGATTTACGTAGACGGAAAGTCGAAGTTATGACTCAACATCGAATTTATTATTCGCTCTGAAGGATATCTTCTGAACACACGCGCGAGTTACCTACTTATTGGCTCATAAACAATGGAATTAAGAGATGCATGGCGGCCGAAACATCAAAACGGAAATCTATTGAAAAGTATCATCTCTAATAAGTTAGTCTCGCATCTTTATCTATCGCAACGTTTCCGCTACCAACCGAAAAAATTTCAAAGGAAAGTTTTGCGACAGAGTCATCAGCTCGGTAAAAAGGAGTAAACGTTTTTTGCTTGTATATGCTGAACACGGACCTCAAGGTTACGGGCAGTTTCGCCAATATACGTTGGTCCAATATTGTTGTGATCCATAGAATGGCGTTACGCAATATTTCAAGCCTAAGTTATAACAATACACATTTTATTACCGTTCCAGTAGATGATGTGTCGAACTCTGAATTGTTCAGTTTTTTAAGCATACAGGAAGTGACAACAGAATTCGAAAAAGACAAGGGTTCTTTTTTCCTTGTTCATGATGAGGGAAAATAATATCATGTATGATTTTTGCCAGAGCAAAGCACGGCCAAGGCTGTCTTATTTGTGAAGTAAAGCGACTAAAAAAGCGTCAGATTTGACAAAACTAAGCAATCTCATGTTTTCAGTAGTGCAAGAGAGCTTACTTGGACCAAACCAATCCTGTGGGAGTTGAACTCTTTTCTTATGTAGACACTTTCTTTTTTTCCAATAAATTTGCACGGATGCTGGCCACTTTAGTTAAAACCGTCAGTTGGATCACCATACATTAACATTGCAAAATTGCTCAACCGAATTAAGAACATCAGTTATTGCGCTAATTGTACTTTGTTCCTTGTTGTAAAAACGTAAAGGAAATGACACGCGCACGTACACGGATGAACCGATGCGTGCACAAAAAACAGCTTAAAAGAAGCTCTTGTTCACGTTCTAGGCAGTTGCTGCAGCAAGGAGAGCGCTAAGTCATAACCTTCTCTTTTGATACTCTCAGTACTTCAAAGTCTCTTTATCCCGGCGTCCAGAACAAGTGAGAAGCCAGAATGTCAGACGTCAAGCAAGCAGTGGGCTACCAGCAGATATCCGCACATTTTCAAAGACAGGACGGGAAACGATTTCTTGAAGATGCAAGGCCTTGTCCTGGAGACTCCATCTTGGATTTAGGCTGCGGTACTGGTGAGCTGTCCGCCTACCTAGCTCAGTTAGTTGGTCAAGAAGGCAAAGTTGTGGCTGTCGATCCCGACGTCGATAGGATTCAAGTGGCTCAGAAGTCCCACACCAGTGTAAAGAATCTTGTATTTCTCGAAGG